GGATCTCGGTGTTGCCGCCGTCCAGCAGGCGGATGGCCAGGCCGATGCTCTCCTGGAAGACCTTCTCGTTCTTGGTGCTGGTGATGAGGTCACACACCAGCTTGGTGGCCCCCTCCTTGTCCAGCCGGCACTGGGTGGCCGCGATGGCTGACCAGTCCTGGTCCAGGCCTGGCGTGGGGGGACTCACTTGAGGGGAGCGAATGGGGTGGGAGAGCGGGAGGGAGGGCCCAGGGCCTGGGCAGGCAGGCCACCGGGGGCACAGCGGGGAGGCAGTACTGACCGACGCCCATGGGGTCCGGAAGGTCCCCCCGCGAGCTGGACTTGCGGTTCTGGAGGTAGTTTTGCAGCAGCATCTTGCGTAGCTGGTTGCCCTGGGGGGAAGGAGCGAGGCCCACAGTGCACTTCGCACCCTTTCGTCGGTGGCCCCACAGTCCCGGCCCTGCCGCCCGGGCCACCGCCTGGGCACTCACCCGGTCCCCGTACTTGGCCTTCTTGAGCAGCATCTGCTGCAGAGTCCGCAGCACCTTGACGCACAGCTTCTCCTCCGACTGCATGAGGTCCTTGGTGTGCTGGATCAGCCTGCGCGGGCGGAGGGCACACGGGCAGCTGTCTCCCTCCGGACACCGCCCGGCCCCATCCCGGGCGGGAACAGCCCAGCCTCCCACCTGTGGGCCCTCTAGTCCCCGCTGGGCCCCTCGCTGCCTCGGCTGCTGCCCCCGACCGCGCCCCTCACTTGGACAGGAAGCCCCCGCTCTCGCAGCGCTGGTAGGCCTCGCTGCCCTCCAGGAAGAGCAGCTCGGGCCAGTGCAGGACGTCCACCAGCACGGACAGCTCGGCCTGCACCAGGGGCTTCAGGCGCTCCTCCAGGGCCGTGATGATGTCCTGGGTGGGCGGGCAGGGTCACCACCATGGGAGATGCAGGAGGCCCGGGCCCAAAAGGTGCCATCCCCACCCCACACCAAGCAGCCCCACGACTGCCCGACACGGGCCCCACACAAAGGATGCCGCCTGCCTGCTCAGAGCCCCTGGCTGGGAGCTGCGGGCCCTCCTCCAGCTCTGTGACCTTGGGCAACCCCCTGCCCTCTCTGAGCCTGTCTCGTGCCGTGGGGTAATTACAGGCCAACAAGACAGTGGACAGGTGCATGGCCTGAGCGGACAGGTGCTGCCAGGACTGTGCAGGGTCCTGACCCGCGTGACCACCAACCCCACCGGCGGGCCCTGGGTTCTCCCTGCAGTGAGCAGCCCCCGAGGAGGGCGCGGGCGGCACAGGAAGGGGTGCTCCTCAAGCACCCGCCCTCCCCAACCACTCCCGTGGCCGCCCACACCCACCTGCAGTTTCTCGATGATGTTCTTGTAGTCCCACTGGTTGGCCGTGGGGGTGACTCGCGGGAAGGCCCGCGTGGCCGCCTTGTAGTTGGAAGCGTTCCTCTGGGCAGCAGCCACACAGCTGGCACCACTGCTGAGCAGCAAGCTGATGTGGGCATCCAGGTCCATGGGCAGCGAGATGCCCCGGCCCTTGGCTGGGGGGAGAGGTGGGAGGCTGAGCCAGCCAGGGGGGCAGAGCCAGGGCTGCCTGCTGGGGAGCAAGGTGAACTACCCCGAGGCTCTGGGTGCAGGGACCCCCACCTGGCCCCACTTGGATGAGGTGCCCTCTTCTGTTTGGGTAAAAGAGGGGGTTTCTGTCTCTTCAATTCCACCCTGGATCCCTGCCCCTCCCCTGCCCACTCTCCCTAACCACCTACAGGCCTTGCCCCCTGTCCCTCCCCACCACGAGGATGGCCACCCAGCCTTCTCCTCCAGGTCGGACTCGGGGGAGAACACCTTCTCCCACTGCCAACGTGCCAGTCAGACACCAAGAAGGACTTACTGAGAAGCGCCTGGGAGCAGGGGACGGGTGCGCTTAGGGACAACATGTCTACTGTGGGCAGGCGCCCGGGGCGCCCAAGGGCACTCACCCACCATGGCCAGGGTCCGGATGCAGGCCTCCACCGAGCCCTTGTGCTGCTGCTGCAGCCACGGGCACTCGAGCAGCCGCGTGGTGGACTGCAGCAGCTGCACCACGATCGTCTGGTGTGTCTGCGAGAAGCAACGCCCGCTGCAGCCGCCCGCCTCCACCCTGGGCAGCCCCGCCCGGGCACCAGAGCCCCTGAGACCGGCACAGGTGAGGACAGCCCCCAAGAGCAACCCTGGGCTGTGCCAGTGGGAAGAGGCCCCCCCTTCCTCGCAGTGCACAGCCTGCCCCACTGCCCACTGCCCCAGGTCCACGTCTGGCCTTGCAGCCGTTGCTGACCCTTTTCTTCCTTTAGAAATCTTTTTAAATAAGTTAATGCTGTGAAAAGCTGACATGTCTGCCTGGTTTAAAGGTAATAAAAAGGCACACTTTGAGAAGTCTCTCCCTCCCTCTGACCCCACGCCTCCACTCACCCCACTCTGCCTGGGGCCGGTGAGGGGCAGGGGACACTGATACTAATGCCAGAGTCCCCCAGCCCAGACACGGTGTCCAAGGACACCCACCCTCGCTGTGAGTGGGACCAGCAGTTTTCTGGCCGCCCTCAGTGGCACTGCCCACTGCGCCCGCCCCTCCACCCGTGGGCAGGCCCTCACTGGCTTCCTTCCGGGGTTCCTCTGTGACTCAGGGGTGTGGCAGCCCCTTCCTCCAGGGAGCCCGGCCCTTCCATTCCAGGGCTCTGCGCTGAGAAGTCTGGGCATCGGCTGGGGCCGGGGCTCAGTGGAGTGAAAGCGTGTGCACTGTCTACCTATCCCGTTAGGGACACCACGGTCCACGCCAGCTCGCTGTCAGTCTCCCGCCCCCAGCTCTGGCTCTGCCGCCCACTGTGGAAAGCGTGCCACCTGCCTCCGGTGGGTGAGGCAGTGCAGCCAGGCGTCCCTGGCACCCAGCACCCATCACCCCGAGTGAGTGAGGAAGTCCTGCTCTACGGAAAGTCCCCACTTCAGTCCTGAGCACAGGAACTGTGAGGCCATAATGTTCACTGTAGAACATGATCACAGTAACGTAAATGTTTGCTGTTTGAAACGGGGAACTTGGGGGAAATTGGTTACCAGCGTAGACAATACTCTTGTACAGCCTCTCTGCACGACAAGCCAATATAAGCACGTATGCTGAGCCCCTCCCCACGCAGGGCGGTGGTGGCGACGCTCACCTGCAGGGAGGTGCTGTTCTCGGAGAACGGGGAGCTGAAGAAGGCGCTGATGGTGTCCAGCACCACGCTCAGCACGTACTTCTCCAGGGTGGGATCGGCCAGGCGCTTCTCCCGCTTACTGCACACCTGGGCGCAGAGAGAGAGAGAGGCCC